TAAAAAACAGAATCAGACGTATAATATCATGAATGAACACTCATGTTAGTCGATGACTAAATTACCACCGAAGACTTTTTAAAAAAATTCACTGAGCAACATTTGCGGAAGTCTGACGATAATAAACTTTACGATAATCTGAACTTTCAAATGTTTTATCGACTGTCTAAGGCATTCTGATTCCACATTTTTCTTCATTCTCACTTTCGTTTTTTTTCATTCTCGGTGTCTCTTNTCTGTCAGTGACGCGTTATCATATTACAATAGCAAAGAGGAAATAACTTCGAGTTTTTTGCTGAATAAATGATTCATGCAGATACATTAACTAGGTTTTTATTTATGTTCCATAACCAGATAACTGAGAGCCAAATGCATGAAACTTTGTAATGAAAGACGGAAAGAAATGGGATCGACAATGTTCACATGAAGAGGTAAATCGCTACAGAAAAAAAATGAATTCGAGAACAATTGGAGTGAGACCAACATGGAGCAATAAGGCAGTAATAATTGTAATACTGTGAATACTAACAACAACAACGATAGAAGTAATCATATTAATAACAATAATAATAATAATAAAACCATAATACTCAAAAAGATAAGTCGATGTTAAGGAGAATGATAAAATAAAATGAACGAACGAACCGGTTGTTCGCGTTTCAGTCCGAACAGTTTCGGATTCATAATGGCTGCGGCAAAGAAACGCATGATGATAAAGGAACTCAGTGCGAGTCGTTGTACATCGTCCCTGCCCGGGAAATGTATTGAAACCACATCACGCAAATCCGCAAACATCTCTTTAAGCGGTGTTGGACATCGATAGTTCGAATCGACTACGTGCGAGAATGCCAACTCACCGTAAACAGTCAAATTCAACTGAAATTTACGTAACTCCAATCGATTTCGTCGTAATAAATGACTGCTTCTAACGATGCACTATTAAGGAATTCGATCATCAACAAAATTTGCCACAACAGTGAAAGATGCACGTCTTTGGAGAGGGCGATTAGATGAACGATGAGTTCCAAAAAGTTGTGATAAAATGGAGATAGGCATTTGCTGTTTAAAGGAA